TCTGTCGGTCGCCATTGGCCAGCCAATCTTTTGTGTAATCTTCATAAGTTATGCAGCAATACATACCGGAGAGCACGCCAAGATAGTATAAACAAAACTACAGTCCTAGATGACGAACGTTTTTCTGTCCATGTCCATATTTGTATGATAGACTCATTGTTTAGAGTGAATGAAAAACCAAATATTTGCCGAAATCCCGATAAAACATACGGTTTTTGTGTTTTTGTGCCTCAAACGTGGAAGAAGAAGAATACCCCACCTTGCGACTGCCATTACCGGTGTAGGGTGCTACCGAATGGTAGTTTCAATAACCCAATATTTGCTTTGCAGTTGACAAGTTTCTGAAATGGTCACCCATCTCATTACTAGCCATCATCCACAGCTCTGGCTAGAAGGCTAGCCTAAAGCAGAATTCTTTCGCCCAATTACTTGAACTGCCCATACACACTTCAGTAACTACGTACTACCTTTCCGGAAAGCCATGAGGACTAGCAGAAGAAGCTGTATTGTACGTTACAACGTAGTGAGTAAGCTGACAGAAGGCGATCCGAGATACTAAGCCATAAGTAATTTGCTCTAGGCTATCATCTGACTTTGCTAGCGCTGAGGTTCGAACACAGTATCTACGTGACGAACAGCGTAACCATCAAGGCATGTTGTACTCCTCAAAAGTGACGAACGGATTCAACTAATATTGGTGTCTAGAATGACTGCAAAAGCCACCATTAGCTCCATGCGTATTGCGAAAAATGTGTTTTCTTAATGAAATTGAGTACGACGTTGTTTTACCTTTCCTCGACTAGAGTTCTTAAAATTCCCATGCAAGAAATGGTAACTCTTATCATTTACATTTTCCAGCCCACCAAAAGGGTATTTAGACAAATAGGGAGGCGCTAACAGTAACTCCAAAAAAAAAAAAGAGTAAGCTACAAAGAAACTGTCATTCAATTGTGATCCCAAAGTGTTGCTTACAAAGTACTGCCAAAAGTGTTACTACTGGTCGTAGTCGAGAAGGTGACAGATAAAAGAAACAGCGAAACTTGTGGTGCCACTCTGCTTTCAGTGTTGCATTTTTAATCAATCCAGCAATCTTTCTATCCTCTGTTCTAGTTGTGAGTTTGTTACTTCTGCTGAGAGTAGAAGATACTTGACTTTTTTGTGCGAGTACCGTATTTGATTAGAATTGGAAATAGGATATGAACATTTTCAAAGAAAGGCATGTAACTCATAGTCTAGCCGTTACTGCAGGCCTAAAATGCTCGACAAGTCTTAAAGAGTACCGGCATGTATTAGTTTCCGACGACGCTAAGCTAATAAACCTTTTTAACCAGCCACTAAAAACCTATTGTATTGCAACCAGGGAAAGTAAAAATTTGTTGCTGTTTACTACCGGTGATATGGTCTTAATTAATTTAACGAGCTAATGTGTTTATTTATTTACAGGTAGAGAAAATGAAGAAGCTTGCAATAATCGACAAATGACAACTACAGATGAAAATACAACCGAATATGTCACAGAAAAATTGAGAAAAAGTTTGTGTGTTCAAATATATAATGATAAAATCTTAAGAGAAATTGTAAATGAACTTGGAGAAGAATTAATTGAAACGTATTCTCAAGATTTAATTCGTACTTTTTGCACAATAACAGAAAGATCATCAAATATTGATAATGAATTAGAAAATAACAATAAACGTGAAAAAACAATTGAATTTCTCGCGAAATGGTTACAAATAATCGATAACGATTATATGGTGGAATATGATAAATGTTTGAATAAAAATATTTGGCTATTATCATATGTATATACTTCATTTGAATATGAAAAAAATGATTTAATGTCGTTGTATACAGCATGTCGGACATTGGATAATTTAAATATAAACAATAATATTCTTTCTCAAGATTTTGGACGAGTGCAATTTCGTGAACATATATTTGATTCAATGTTTAATTGTTTATGGTCAAAATTAATTGAACTTTCTGATTCTTCAAATGATGAATTATTGATATTATGGATGCAAACCTATGCATTCGTAATTAAATATTATCCATCTGAAAAAGTTTTAGATGGAATTCAATTACGAATGATAAAAACAAAAATTCAATTTATGCATTTATCTTATTTGATATTGTTGAATGAACAAATAAAAATACCATTTGAACTAATTAAAGATCTTTTAAGAGACAACAATTTGTTAGATAATTGTGATTATGAAGAGAATAATGTAACAACTGATGGTTGTTTAAAATTATTACCGAAAATTATTGAAATAATTTAAATCTACTTAGAAAACGAAACAGGTGATGAAACGCAAATAACACTGATAATTGATATAATTCAGTGGGCACTTACACTAATACCAACAACAACAGAAGTTGAATATTTATTCAAATATCTAAATGAAAAATGTCTATTACGACCTTCTATGAAACAACTTTTGTTTGATCAATTGGCAGCTTTGGTCCTTGAGCCAAAACAAAAACAACGAACAAATAAAATGAACACATTCGAAAGGACGATGTTTTTATTACCAACTATTGCCAAATGTCTTTCTGATCAATCACCAGCGACAATCGATTATGTTTTGCCTTATTATCCATCTCTTATCTCAACAACTAAACAACAACAAACATTGATTGATTTATTCTTTTTCATATAAGAAATAATCTGAATGATGAAACAATTACCTACGAATTTATCAATAAAATTATGATAGATCAAACACCACCAAAAACACCGCAAAGACGTTTAGTCCCCGTTATCGAAAAGTTATACAAATTATTGAAAGATTATATTTTAATTCGCTGTACAGGTAAGTGTACTCAGATGATTGTATTACAGGTACAGTGGTAGAAAAGGACAAATTCAAAAAAAAAAGAACTTGAAACTCATTTCGTGGAACTGTCGCTCAACCACATTTATCTGGATGGGTCAAACGTCGAGGACTTCACAAATTTTGATCATAAGGACCAAAAATTCATTTTCTGGCTAGATCTTGATACTTTTTTCAAATTTTTTCGAAAAAAGTATTCTCTTATCACGAGCTTCAGTTGCCGGTAATTCGTCATTGTTTCTTAAATTACAGAATGCTGTTATTTTACCTGTACATAGAGCTGGAAAAGACTAATGTGCTCTGTATGTATGGCGTCTGATTCATTCATCATTTCCAGGATTCATTGCAGAAGAAGGAAATTCACATATAGCCCGAAATGACTGATCAAGCAGAACTATGCGTAGTATGACTTCCGTTTTCTCAGAAACGGAATATTAATGGTTCCTGTTTATTATTTTAAACCTCGCTCTCCGACAGCATCGAATAACATATCCTGATTTCGGTATGTATTGATTTGGTAGAAAGAAAATATGACGAAAGGAGAAATGTCGAACGGTAAAAGATCGAAAAAGAAACGTCGACTGTTACTTTGATAGAAAAACGATACCGCGACAAAAAAATTTCGAATGATATTTAGGTCGAGAAAAAAAATGTCGAATGCTGGAAGAAATTCAAGCAGACAATCTAAAATAGTTGTAGGGAAGATTATTTTATTATATTTATTTAGGCTATATTAGGCAATTGTCCAATGAATGACGAGGTGTTACGATATGAGACAATGGTTGTATTCAATGAATCAGGTGAAATAAATGCTGAACAGACAGTTCCTCTAACATGCACACTTGATACTGATATTGTTCTCCTTCACCATGATTATTATACAACTTTAACTAATTGTCACTATGGACTTAAATGTCTACCTTGGTACAATATATGTGATGATAAGTATTGTTTTGAATTTTTTTCAACGACAAAATAAAAGCCGGGAGGGTTTGACTATATGCAATCGATAGTCCTACTAAAGGTGTGTAAAGACCCCTGTCGTCCCATGGAAAAATTATTCCGAACATGGTTTTTCCGCGGCCATAAGTTCTGAATTGAAGCATTTTTAGGGGTGCCCGAGTAGCGAAATTTGACTTTATCTAATAGTATCAAGCGTTCTCATACCGCTAGCTGGAAAGAGCATACAAAGTTGCATATTTTGATCCGCAAATGAGATTTTCGCCACTGACATTCGGAAAGAATGTTTGACTGGAGGACCTTATCTGCATTAGCAGATACCATTGGTTTTATGGCGTGTTGGACGAGCTCAAAACCTAACAAAGCATAACTTTATTTATATTCAAATGAAAGCGGCTTCCAAGTTTGTTCGTTTGACGCAATAATGAAGTCTCTAGCACTTTTTACTTCTTCATGGTGAGTGAAGCCAGAGAACCTACTTTGGCCCTTCCTGGCCTCCTCCCTCGAAAACTACACATCAGTTCTTCGAGATCTTCTTACTCCACACACTACTCGACTAGTGCTACAAAACGCGCAAAGTATTTACTTTTTTAAAGTTGTTTTTTTTTTTTGGGGA